AGAATGAAATTGATATGATCAAAGAACACAAGCTATACACGAGAGGGAAGGAAATTAGGTAGGGGGTGGGAAAATATGTTGTATAATTCACTGACAATTTTATTCCTGTGTCTTAATTTTCTACAATTAAAACCGTTTATAATAAGAGAGTATTTTTCGAAAGTGGAACTTAGGTCTGGTTATACCACCAGTCCTTGCATGGGAAGAAAAAGACCCTTTCTCCCAGCTACTCAGGATTTATTTATCGTCGTGTTTTGTCTTGTGCCGTTTAAACGTATTAATTTTCTTCTGGCACTTTCCTGGCACTTACATTTGAGATTTAATTTTAATTAATTAGCTAAGGAGGAGAAAGAAGCGTGTGAGGGTGTGTGCGTCCGCGGACACAAGCTTCGCTCCAACTGCTAAACCTCCGTCCATAATTTTCTCCTTTTGTTCTAATTTAATAAACCCAGCAGGGAAGGGAAACAGGTGCTGGGGGCTGACACCTCTGAGCCCACACACACACACACACACACACACACAATCCCCTTTTGATCATCTAACTCCACTATTAGGGGTGGAAGACCTTAAGTTCCCATTTTCCGTATATAATATCTTCTTTATATTGATCCCGCAATTATTTAAAAGAAAGCGTCATCTCCTCCCACTTCTCCAAATAAGGCTATTTAGATGCTTTCCAGATGAGTGGAGGTGTGCTGAAACAGAGCTGACAGCCAAGTATATCACAGCCAACACCATCCTTCATTCGCTCTCTCCCTCTCTGCCCCCCTCCCCCCGGCACACACTTTCAACGTGTCTCTCTTCCAGTGATGAAGATTACAGACTATTATGGGCAAGGGATTAATTTGTAGCCAATTACAATCCAGTGCTAAATATGAATGCATAAATAAGATACAGCCTTGCCTCCGTGTGTGTGAGCGAGAGAGAAGGAGGGGGGGCAGGAGCGCCTGGGCAGCCTGGCGAGGATGATGAGAAGGAAGAAGGAGCAGCTGAGTGGAGGCTCCGAGCCGAGCATCACTTCGTGACTCCCTGCATCCCGCGGAGGCTCCCGGCGGCTGGACCCCGCGCAGCCCCGGGGAGCTGAAGGCAGCGACTCGTCCTGAGCCGGAGCGGAGCCGGGGAGGAGTTTCCACATCAACTTCGCCGGAGGAAGGAGGGGGGAGAGCAAGAGGGGAGGGCAGGGGGGAGAAGTTGCAACCGAGAGGGGCTCTGCAAAGAGTCATGAATGTGAGCAGAGACAAGGTCGGCGACATCTCCATCCCGGCAGCGGCAGCAGCGGCGGTGACAGCCCCCGCGGCCGCCATCGGCGGGGAGCCCCGCGGCTGCCACGGGGAAGGGATGGACGGCCGCGGGGAGCAGCGGCTCTCGGCCGGCGGAGAGCTGCCGCTCTACTGCCCCGCCAACCGGGACAGGCAAGGGGACGGCCAGAGCAACACCCCCGGACAAGAGGGGGCAGTGGCCGCGCTGCCCGTGGTGCACAGAACCACCTCCTTCTCCGTGCTCGACATCCTGGACCCTAACAAGTTCAACAGCAAGCGGCGGCAGTGCGCGGGCTTGTACAAATCGGCGGGGACCGACTTCGCGCTGGGGGCGGAGGATAAGCCCGAGGACTCAGGGACGGAGCTGGCCGAGCAAAAGGCTCTCGCCGAGGATTTCGACGCGTGTAAGAAGTCCGCAGAGCTGATCAGTAAGTAGGTCTGGGGGCTCGGGGCTGCCCCGAGTTCCCGGCGGGGTCTCGCATGTCTGACATCTCCTCCTTCCCCCGCCGGTGCCTCGGGAGCCGGGGCGCTGCCGGCAGCCGGTTCCAGGGAAGGAGGAACGCGCCCTGCGCTGCTGCTGCTGGATGGAGAGAGACGGGATACTGAGCCAGGCGATGCAAGGGGGGAGCCGGGCATCCTCCCGGGACAGGCCGGGGGTGGCGGGTCCCGGCGCTCGGCACCGGCCGCGCTCCGCTCCCCGCACCGCCGGGGAGCTCTGCGGGACACCCGGAGCTGTTCGAGGATCAACCCCAGGGATGCCGGCCTGGCTGGGCTGGGGAGGAACCCCACCATCCTCCTCCTCCTCCTCCTCCTCCTCGAAGGGACAGCCACGCTCCCTGTGAGCTTCGGCTCAGGCAAACTTGAAAGCGGCTCCTCCGGCCTCGGAGGGTCGGAGTCCCGGCCCCGAGGGTGCGAAAACTCTCCCTTGGTACCCCCAGCTCCCCTGGGCCCCCCCAGGCGTTGGTGACTTTGTGTCTCCTCTCCCCAGCCCCGGACCCCTCTCCCGTCCTCCCCCCGCCGCTGCCGCCCGTTGCTCTGGGCGACAGATTCAATTTTCTCTCTCCCCTTGGCTTTTTTAGGACAAATCAGACTAATTGTGACAAAATGCTGGTTATCTCTGGAAAAACAATTAAATTCCTTCGATTACATTTAAGGTAAAATGTGCTTAGCAGCGTAAAGAGGCTGGATAATGGGGAAAATCGCCCCAGAGTGGCATGTAGGACTGCTTGGATCGATATCCTATTATCGAATTGTGCATATCTCTTTCAAGCACCTTGCAAACTCTTCCCTAACATCTAAATTATAGGGTCAAAATTCGGATAATTACTCGATTAAAACCTATTACACTTATTAGGGCTCGCTATTGATCGGGAATTGCATTCGACCCAAGCTCTAGATTGCTTTTTCTTTCTGGGTCCGACTATCCCAACTTTCTCACCTCTAAACACCGAGACTCTGGGGATCATGGAGGGTTTCCGGCAAAAGGCTGTCGTGGAAAATATCTATAGTTATTCCGTGTCTAGAGAGGGGAAAGAAGAGGCAGCAAGCTACAGGGGATAAACTTCTCAGTTTAGGAAAAATAGTTTCTCTGTGTCTAGGGGGGGAGAGAGGACTCGGAGGTTTCCAACCCCGCCATAGCGGGACTTTATCAAGTAAAATTAGGCAGAGAAAGAGGTTTGGAATCTGCTTCAGCCTGAGCCATGACGCATTTTTCATCTGTAAAGCAAAATCAGAAATGGGCCACTAATAGAATTCAAAAGAGATTTTTAAAAGCCGTGCAGAGCTGGAGTAATTGTTCCTCTAAACTCATCTGACTTCAGTCATATTAAATAGATCTGGGCGATCAGAAAGACTGACGAGGTTAACCTATCGCTAATCTCACACTTTTATCTCCAGACAAGGAGAGAAATGTAACTCCATCTCTTCTCTCAAAATAAATATGCTTGGAGGCATCACGCCGCGGTGCGCTTCGCCCGCTGACAAGTTCCCCAGGCACTCCACAGATGGAATCCTTCGGTCACATCGCCTTAATGTTATGGCAGTGGCCAGAAATAGATATGGGACTGCTCGAAAATCACGACATTTAATTATTCTCTTTCCCCATCGTAATTAATATTAGTTCAAGTGGTGGCTTAATCTAAGAGAAGTGTTCTGAAAAGTAGCTCTGTCTAGAAAAGTACCAACTCCTCCGAAAAATGCAAAGGATTTCTGGCCAAAGGAGAGTGAAAACAGCGCTCGTCAATTGCCGCTCGTAAAACTATTTTAATGTTAAAAATAACAGTTTAAACTCTCCATTAAATTCCCATTTAACCTATTCCAAAAAAAAAAAAAAAAAACCAAAAAAACCCACCAAAAAAACCAAAACCACAAAACAAACCAAAAAACCAACAAGACTGGCGTCCATCCCCGCCGCCAATTCTATTCGCGGTACATTTTTTTGTCTTAAAAAATTTTAGTTGACCAGCGGCTGGGATTCCCTAGACGGGAAATTAAACTTGGAAGCTTCCAGCTGCAGGTTCCCGGTCCGGTCCGTGTGTGGGGGCTGCGGCTTCGCTCAGCCCCCGAGTCTGCCCCGCAGGCGCAGCCACACGCACTTTTTATAAACCGTTGCTGTAAAAAATTACGCCCCGCAATTTCTAGCAGGTCCTACAGGTTGCAGGACGCTTGTCTGCACTCACTGGGTCGGGCTGGGAAAAAAGCGACCCGGTTGTCTTCTGCTCGGCGGCAATCGCCGTCGTTTTCCATGCTCTGACCTGAACAGAAAGCTGGAAAGGGTTCTTAATGAACCCTGAGTTATTAAGGGATATTTTCGGAGTGACAAGGACAACAATACTCTGCCCTTATTTCTTCTACTCAGCCAGCCATATCTGAAATCAGCGCGTTAAACAAAACACTCTTCTAAAACCACCCCTAATTTTACATGCGGGCATTAGGGTGTCCGGCGTGAGGATACGGAGCAAATTTGAGGTGTGTTCAGGTTTGGGGGCGATTAAAAACATCTAAAATGTGGATGGGATAAGGGTGACAGTCCAGCGATTCATTTCCTATTTGCGTGTCTCGGTTAACCAAGTTAAAGGAGTCCTCGGTTAGGGGTTCCCGGAGCTACAGCCCCGTTGCAGAAGTGAGGGTAGGGAAGTTTAGGACTGTCTGAAAGCACCGGGAAAAAGGACGGCACTCACGGGGCTCTGCCCGACCCGTGGAGAAGGATTCGCCTCTCGCTCCCCCGAAGGAGCCCGGGCCCGGCCAGGATGAGGAGGAGCCGATTCTCCGGAAAACGGGATTTGCTTTCGGGCTTCATAATGACGGAATCGTCAGCAGAAGTCCAATAGCCTTAAATATCGGCTAATTACCCTGTTCTCCGATGGAGACCCGTTAATTGGAGCGTAATATAAACCCAAATAAATTAAATGACCGTTAACTAGTTTGTACATTGCACAAAATGAGTTTAATTAAGTTTGTATCTGCTCTGCTAATCAATACATGTATTTACTCCACTTTAATACTTCCATCTCGGGAAGTGACAAGAAGTCAAACCAGACGCAGGAAGGGTTAAAAATGCCAGAGCAAAACCCAGCAAATCGCCCATCGATTCGGAGATTTCCGTCACTAAAATTGTTAGAGGCTCTTTGACATCCCTGCTGCCCGCTCCCCAGGCACGGCTGGCTCGGCCCGGGCAGGGGCTTCTCCCCGGCCTCTCCTGGCCCCTGCCAGCTGCCCGCTGCCCCTCCGGGCACCCCGGGGATGCTCGCCCTGCTGCCTCCCCAAAGGCCTTTCCAGCCGTCGGGTGTTTGGCGGGCACTGGCGGCCGTGGGAAGGGGGGTACATCCCCTATCCCGGCCGCGTCCCGGTACCGGCTCTTGCCGGAGGTGGGTGGCTCGGAAGGGGCAGCGCTGGCACAGCTCCCCCGGCCTGGACAGCCCCTTCCCGGCCCCAGAGCTGCAGGTCCGACCCCCATCTGCCCAGCTTCTGCCCAGCTCCTCGCCCAGCTCCTCGTCCCCCGCGCACCCCTGGCTCAGGGCGGCCGGAGCATCCCCGCACCCGAGGGGCCCGGACCGGCCGCATCCCCACGGCGGGCGGAGGGGCCGAGGGGGCCGGGAGGGGCAGTCCTGTCCCAAGAGCAGCGGGGACACCGGGTGGGCGAACCCCCAGGGCGGACGGGTTCTCCCGGGTTCTCCCGGGCTCTCCCGGGTTCTCCCGGGTTCTCCCGGCCGCCTTCGCCTCGGGGGCCGCACCGGCGGGGCTGAGGGCGGGCGGGGCGGGCGCCGGGCCGGGCGGCGAGCCCTAACAGCGGCTGTCGCTTGTCCGCAGAGGACGGGGAGCTCTACAAGAGCGAGGAGTGCGACCTGGACTACAGCAGCCGGCCGAGCCGCAGCCCCGACAGCGAGCTGCCGGACGACGAGGAGCTGTGCAGCGAGGAGAGCGGCAGCACCAGCGGCAGCAGCGGCAGCTCCGGCCCCGCGGCGCCCGGAGAGCCCGAGCCGGGCCCGCTTCGAGCCGAGGCGGCCGAGGCGGGGGTGGTCCCGGCCCCGGCGCCCCCTCCGCCGCCCCCGCCGGCGCCTCCCGTCGGGGCGCAGCCCGGCCCGCAGGCCAAGCCCAAGAGGAAGCGGACGGGCTCGGACTCCAAGTCGGGCAAGCCCCGGCGGGCGCGGACAGCCTTCACCTACGAGCAGCTGGTGGCGCTGGAAAACAAGTTCAAATCCACGCGGTACCTGTCGGTGTGCGAGCGCCTCAACCTGGCGCTGTCCCTCAGCCTGACCGAGACGCAGGTGAAGATCTGGTTCCAGAACCGGCGCACCAAGTGGAAGAAGCAGAACCCGGGCGCCGACACCAGCGCGCCCACGGGCGGCGGCGGCGGCGGCGGGGCGGGGAACGGGCTGGGGGGCGCGGCGCTGCCGGGGGGGCTCAGCCCCCTCAGCCACTCGCCGCCCATGGGCACCCCGCTCTCCATGCACGGCCCCGGCAGCTACGCCGGGCACCCGGCTGGAGGGCTGGTCTGCGCTGCCCAGCTGCCCTTCCTGCCCAGCCCCGCCGTCCTCTCGCCCTTCGTCCTGGGCTCCCAGACTTACGGCGCTCCGGCTTTCTACACCCCGCACCTATAAGCCCGACGCTCCTTCCTGCTTCTCCTCCTCACTGCCGGCTCCTTCCCGCTGTGCCCGCCGCCCCTCCGAGGATCGCCCGGCCGGGCCCTGAGGGTCGCTCACCGCACGGAGCCCCCAACCCCGCAGCCGAGAGGTGAAACCAAGAACCGAGAGCAGCGACACCGGGGGAAAGGGGCAGCCCCGCGTTCCTGCGACCCACCCCGGGGGGTGAAAAGAGCGGCCAGAGGCTCCCGGGACCCCGCGGGAGGCTCCCCCGCCCTCGGGCCTTTCTACGCCCCTTTTTGTACGCGATGTGTCCGGACTGCGCTGCTGCGGGAAGGAGGAGGAGTAACCTCCCTCCCCCGTGTACATACAAGTAGATGTAAATCATCGTTACCTGTATTTTTATTTTCACCGTCCCTCGTTGCTATGTGGGTTTAATTAATTTAATAATTATTATTAATATTATTTGCCTTTGTTTTTATTCTAGTCTGGCCACTAGCGAAAGACTTTAAAAGAAAAGAAAAGAAAAAAAAGATTATGTACCCATTTGACTCTCAGGGTAAAACGGAGAACTATCGGTCCTGTCCCTCGACATTGCAGAAGCAGACGCGCCGCTCCCTTGCCGTGAGCTCACGGTGACGAGGGACATTTTGTACAAACGTCACTGTCCATCGACCCCCGAGCGGGGCCGGGGGTCCCGCCCGGGAAGGGGCGGCCAGGGCGGCTCCTGGGGTGCAGGGCTGGTTTTTTACGTTAAACATTTCTGTATATTTCTGGTTGTTACAAAATTTAAAAAAAGTTTTAACTTTATAATTAATGTATAAGACGAGGGAGTAAAAGCAAGAGGTGATAAAGAGAGCACTTTGTTTGCTAAACACTTTAAATCAATAAATAAACTCTAAAGAAACGGCGCTTTCCGTGGTGGCGAGTCCCTGGTTTTCGGGTGAATCTTTGAAAGTCAAGTTTCCTCTGGAAAACGCCTGCCTCATGAGACGCACGGAGGGATGTCTTGCATTATCCTTTTTCTTTTCGTTTACTCTGAGAGAGTATTTCTAATACACAAATAAACTTTATTCTTCTTGTACGAGGGAAGGTATTTCCCTTCTTAGTTTCCTCGTTTGCATTTTCTTAATTGGCTTTGCCGATTTGCGCAATATTACGAACAAAATAAATATCATATATAGAGGGAATCCGACATCTCTGCCTTGTTTCCCCCAATGGGAAGTCCGATATTTTGGATTTATGTAAATTTAATAAATCGGCTCCTTCATTCAGATTGCACAACTTTAAAAATAAAATAATCTTTTCATCGCCGCTCCTCTGATTACTTTTAAATTCGCATCAAAGCTGGTCTTTTATAATACTTTTTTTTTACTTTCAAAGAAAAAGTCTATAAGCTCCATGAGCACCCCGAGGTGGCTCCGCCGGCCCAGCAGCCCCCAGCCCGCTGCCGCAGGGACCTGGTGCCCCGTTCCCCTTCTCCCTGCGTGACTCCAGAGCTCACGCTGGGGAAGAGCTTTCATTTTCCACTAATTTTTGGTGTGATTTTTGTTTTGTTTTCTCTTCTTTTTTCTTTTTTTTTTTTTTTAATTTTTATTTTTTTTCCTTGGGGGTAATTCTAAGAAACCGCTATTTTCCGGAGTTTTTGGGTAGTAGAGCATCCTCCTCCTCTCGGCACCCACCTCCACATCTCTGCCCGGGCGGGTGCCGGGGTGTCCGGGCTTGGCTCCCCGCTCAGCTCCTTTCCCCTGCTCCCTCCCTGTGCCCTCAGCCTGGCTCCCATCTGGGATTGTGCACGGCCGGGCGCTCCGGAGCTTCATCCCGCTCCCTCTAGAATGGAATTAAATGTTTCAGCCCTCCCGTGGAAGCAAAACCTGCCGCGACCGCCGGCGTTGGAGCCCGCAGGGTCTGTGGCTCCTGCTGCCGGTGGGTGCGGGCTCCAGCAGCCTGCGGGAGCCGCGGGGAGGATGCGGGATGCTCCAGGTGATGCGGGATGCTCCAGGTGATGCGGGATGCTCCGGGTGATGCGGGATGCTCCAGGTGATGCGGGATGCTCCAGGTGATGCGGGATGCTCCGTGTTCTCACTTCCCCCCGTGCACCAGGAGTCTCTGACCAGACTCATTTGTATTGGTGAAAATAAGATCTTTTAAGATGAAAGGAGTTCTGAAGTAAATTTCCAGGGAAAAACATGACAAGCAGCAACATTTGGAGTACTGCTGTGCACAGCTCTTACTGGTAGAAGAAAACCAGCCAAACTGGGAAACAGGCACTGGGGAGATTCTCTCACACTACACCGTTGTGCACCAGGTTTGAGTAAGTGCCACTAGCAGCCAAACTCTTAGCTCAGGTGAGGCATGACACAGCTGAATAAAGAGATAATTCAACCCCTGTCTGCACTCCAGGAGCTCCAAGCAGCTCCCTACCAGTGGGAAATAATTTGGCTCCAGCAGGAACTGCCCAGAGCTTCAGAGTGCACGACTCCCCCACTCCGGGCTGGTTAGCCTCCTGCCAGCGAAACCTGCTCAAGTGAGTATTATTACTCACAGCTGCTGGATGAAGGAGTCAGTTAACCTGAGATTCCCAGTCATTAAATGCGATTTAACAAGGCTTCTCACATTTTATGGCAGTGCTGAAAACAGAGCCGCAGGTATCTTTCTCAGCATAGTTTAGGAAGTTATTGATAACCCTTGCTCCAGTGCCTCATCCAGAGGTCTGAGATCATAAAATTCTAGAGCAGAGCTGCACAGCCTCAACTCTAGTGTGTGTCTTCCCCAGCATGCAGCACCTGCCGTGGTGTAGGGCATGTTTTACACTCTGCTCACAGGTACTGTCTGTGTCCGGTGGGCATTTGGAGCACCAACATCAAAGAGCCAGGTCAAATAATCTCCCTGGACCAAATTCTGCAGCTGGCTCGTGGTGGATCAGAGTGTGTGGGTGTGAACTTGACAGTGAGAAGCATGATGGTATGGTCACAGGGCAGCTGTTGAGGAACATCTCAGGTGTGAGTGCTCAGCGCCTGGTGTGCTAAAGCAAAATGCTCTCACCTGCCTGAACCTCCCCCTCCATCCCCCGTGTTCCTGCCCGCTGACACTCCAGCTCTGCAGGAGAGTCAAACAGGGCTTGATGCAGCATTTGGGGCTGTCCCTTTAGGTAGTCACAGAAATCCCCCAAAGTTCCCACAGGGATCCCCCAGCAAGTCCCAAAAGCCAATTCCCATGTGGTGCCTGTCTGGTGTCCCTGGTGCTCCTGCACAGGGCTCCTTTTCCAAGAATCATCAACGAGCCTGGAACAGAACAAGTAGAACATTCTGACTGAGGGGATGAGGGTTATGACACAAGCAGGAGGAGTTTGCTCTGGTCTATTCTGTCAGTCAAACTGTCTTTTTAATTACTTTATTATTCATTCATAACATTTAAAGTGGTAGGGGATTCAGGACACGGAACACATCCAAGGGGACATTGAGCAAAGCCTTTGCCAGAGGGCAGAGTCTCAGCTCTGACAGGCTGAGCAGCACATTCAAACCCTGATTCAGTGTGTTCAAGTGATGTCTTTGGCAGGTACCAGAGATGATCCAGGGCATCAGCCTATTTTTGGACTAATTCCCATGAAATCAATGTTAAATCCAAGGGTGCAAACCTGTATTAGTAAGAAAAGATGCAGATATTAATTGCATCTTACTATTGTACACTCTGTGAATGAATGAGGTTAAAAAAGGAAACTGCTCTATTTTACTTCGTATACTTCAGCTTATACTGAACAAGTTTCAGTTGTTCAGTAAAATGTCTTATAATCAAAACAACAGAAAAACCCACATAAATACAGATACATTCCAAACATTGAAAGAGAAGTGAAAAATATTTCAAAATATTTTGTGTCGTGGATTTCACTCAGCAATGATGTTTCACAATGTCATTGCAAACCAGTTCTGTACTATCGCCTGCAGAAAATTCCTTGAGCTGTTTCCACTTGAGCAGGGTGCAGTGAGTTAGTTTTTTAATTCTTAGAGATTTTTGACATGTATTTCAGAGTTCTGTTTCAGACTGAACTCAGTCATGTTACATGTCTTATACTACACAAGTGAAATGTTAAAAATAACGCTTTGTTGTATAAACTTAAATTCATTTTCCAAAAATACACCATGATGTCTGTTTGCAATCTGCTGTATTAACAAATATTCATTAACTCCTGTATTACCTGACAAAATAATTATGCTCAAACAGTTGAATTTAAATACTCAAAGGAAAATTATTTTACAATGTTTGGGCATTTCTGGTCTTCAGGTTCTGTCTAAAAGAGAACCAAGTAAATATGGTTGTTGTAGAGCCTTTCTTAACAGCAAATAAAAGAAAGATTTTTTTCTAATATTAGAAGATTTTCCAGCCCCTGGGAGGTAAACCAAGGCAGAGGGACACTGGGGATGAAGGGGACAGGCAAGTAAAAAAAGAGGATCCTAATCAGTTTGTCACTAAAAGTGGGCTTACATAAATGGTTTACATAAACCACATTCTTTTCTAGCTGGTGGGGTTTTTTACTTCTTTCCCTCTTGCTGACACATTCATGTTCTGTTAACATGCTCACATTAAAGCCATCTCAGGTGGACAGAATGGGGGCTGTCACAGTGAAAATAACCCTGACAGGAAGAGCTCTTTCTCCTTTCCTGATGCTGTCTGATACAGAATAAGCTTTAAAACAGGTTATCAAAGCCTTGGAAAGCTACAGCCATGTGCCCACTCAGGAGAAATGCTGTTGATGCTGGAAATCCTATGGATGAGCCTTGTATCAATAGAGAAGCAGCCAGAAACCAGAGCATGGCCAGAACACAAAAGTCTGGGCATGCAGGGTCAGGCAATATCTGTATATGATTTACTAATTTATTCTTATGACGTGACACAGGTTCGGGTAGCTAAAACTAGCCAGGTTCACCCAAAGTGATAGACTTTATTTTAGAATACATCTTCTAGATTTTCTTCTCTGCAATGACATAGAAGCATTTTACAGTGACAATGAAGGAGAGATGACACCAGAGCAAAGAAATGAAATATTGTCACAATAACATTTATGTGGGGTGATGGTTTACATTGTAAATGTTCACCCTCTTTAGTAAACTGCTATTTTTTCAAGAGAAGCAAAATGATTCTACTAGACTTAGTACAAATGAATAAATTATTGCTCATTTTCTTTCTTTGTAATTTTTTTTTTCTCTGTAGCCACACACATACATTACAAGAACTCATCCTGCACATACAGGGACTCTTTCCTGCCTTTTCACTGTAACATAGGTAGAGTGACAAATTTATTTTGCCAGTTCCTTGGTTCCCAAAGTCTGCAGGAGGGGAGGAGAAGTGCAGGAAGGGAGCATTTGAATGAGCTGCTGGTTGGGCTCTTCCAACTCCTTGTGTTGACCAAGAGTTCACAGCACCAAGCTGCACTCTCTGTGACCTGTTAAATGTTTTGAGAGTTGTGATTAAGGATGCTCTTTGGGACTTCAAGCATCAGCATTATGCCTTGTAGGGGTGATTTGGAGTGAAATACTGTGTTTGCCTTGAGCACACTCTGCAGCACACCTGATCACACTCGCCTCTGCTGCTTCTGCTCCAGCACTGGCAAAAATAAACTCTCCTGCACATGTGGAAGCAGCATTTAATTTCTGCCCTAGTGAAACCATGTGGCAGACTCTCCAGTGGTACTGTTAGCCTTCAGCTGCCAAAAATACTATTACAAAAATTCAAAGATATCCAAAAGCAATTTCCAAACAAGCAGGATCATATATTATATTTCCATATACCTTTTACAGTGCATGAGGATAAGAGTGGCTCCATAATGGCATTATAAATACAGCAAATTAATGGCGGATGCAATGCCAACACCTTGTCATTATGCAAATTGGAATGTCGGCAGAAATGGTTATTCAACAACCCCTTTCAAAGCAACCAGAAGTCTAATGCTGCTCATTACATCTAAACTAATTAGCACCACATGTAAAATAAAATGAAATAAGGTTTTCCTTAACCCCTCAAGAGAGAGGATTCCTCATGATAATGGAAAAACATCCGAGCACGTGGCACAGGAGAGCTGGGTTTTTGCTCAGGGCACTGGCAGGCAGAAAAGCAAGGGGAACTCTACCCAGAAAGCCAAATGATGATATTTCAGCCACAGACATTTAGAGATGGAGGAACAGATTGTGCTGACATAAGCCCAGCTCAGTTTGCCCAGGCTCTGGTGCAGCCTGTCCCTAGCACAAACGCCCCATGCTCTCCCCAGGCATGGCACAGCCTGCTCCCCCACCACCCCCCTCAGCTGGCATTTAGGCTCTGGATTCCCCAGACCCAGCTGATAGCAAAGGCTCAGCAAGGACATGAATCCTTTACTTTCTCCACTCAATCAGCTTTGAAGCAGAAGAGGGAAAGCATCAACTCAGAAACATGAGCAATTAAAGGATCTTTCTCCTTCCTTTCCTTCAGGGGCAGCATCCCACTCCCACTCCTGGAAGAACAAATTTTTCCCACAGGCCACAATTTGTCCAGCTGCCAGGCAGCCCTAGCTCTCATCCACATGTACTTTCTAAGGGATGTGCTAAGTTTTGGGATCTTTAACCTCTCTCCCAGCTGAAGGGCTGGGGAAGTACTGCTGGCTGGGGAGGGGTCAGACTGGTCTGACCTAGGCTGCTACTTTGAGGTTTTTCTCTCTTTCTTAATTCCTTCAATTTCTGTAGAGGATTTTGTAATAGGACCACTACCACATCCAGTAACAGGGATGCTCTGAGGGCTCTGAATGTACCAGCAGGATCTAATTCCTCTCTTTATCCTGTCACTACCTTTGCAATCCTCCTAGTCCCTATCCCACACCCCAGAAAGTGCTAAAGCTCTGCCCTGATGTGGCACAGCTGCAGCACCTTGGCTCAGGTGAAATGAGAAAAGCTAAGCTGGAAGAGAGCCCCCAGGAGCCTCCCCTGAACCCTCCAGCTGGTTGCAGGGGAGCTGCATTTCAGTGGGGTCTCCTGCCTGAGCCCCGGTGCTGGGCTGTGCTTGGCTTTGCAGCTCTCACCCTGATCTCTCCTTGCTGACTTGGCTCCACACCTGCCTTTTATCTTGGTCAGGTAACTTGTGGCTGACTCTGTTCCTATTGTCAAGGTTGTTTTCTTGTTTGGGGGCGTGTGATGGTGCTCTTGGCAGGAAGGATGTTACCCTGATTTTCACCTTCAGCTCCTCTCACCTCTCCCTGGAGGTGACACCTCCAGTCTCTGTTTTTTCTTTCTCACTTCCCTCTGTACTTCCAGCACCATCGAGTCTTCCTTGGGCGCTGCTTGGAGCAGAACTCGATTATTTGTAGATGCAAATTCAAGTGTTATTTTCACCCAGGAGCAGAATGCTCTTACCTGTTTGGGGTGTATTTAAATGCAGCTGTCCCAGAGCATCCTAGAACAGACATGGACAAACTGCTCTGCAGAAGTTACCACAGTAACACCCTTTCCTCTGGCTTTGGTGTCCATGGGGTCCTGAGGGCTGCTCTAGCTGCTGATAGGATCCATGAGGAAGCTCTCTCCTGAATCCATGAAGTTCAGTGCTTTTCCTGGCAGGTGTCAAGGGAACAAGCATGCAGATCTAGCCCTCCCTTGTCCCAGATTGAGACTGTAATATGCAGAGACCTTTTACTTTCTTTAGTTCCCTACATGAAGCAGTTTTAGCTTCATGGTGGTTCAATTCCAGTCCCCACAGGAAGGATGATGTCTTCCATCAGCTCTCCTGCTTTTAATTTGCCGTGGCTTGGGCTGTCCCCTGAGCCAGGACACGGGACTGTCACCTCTGAGGCTGAGAAGGGACCTGGAGTCCACCTCCTGAACGTGTGCTCCAGAAGGAGCTGTTGAGTGCACCACGATTGCCTCTGCCTGTTCAGAACAGTGACTGCTGAAGGTGTGAGGCATCCAAAAGGTGTGGCTTTAAATGGCCGATTCTCATCACTGAATAACATCTCAACCTCTTCTGGTGCACGACCTACAGAGACATCCACATCAGCTCTGAGTAAAGCCATTAATGTCTAGCAGAACTGGATAAGCCCCACAGGCTGCACCACGGCCAAGCTTTTGAGGAGTGGGAGAGCACCAGGTGGCCTTCTGCCTCTGCTGTGACACTCCTGAACTGGGCTTGTGCTGCCTGGGCTCCTGAGATTCAACACCTCTTGCTTCTGGCTAGAGGCTCCTTATAACTAGTAACACCCTCATCACCCATTTCCACAACCACTTTAAATTGAACAGGTTTACTTTTTGTTTTCCACAAAACAAAGTTGGTCTTACTTTGATTAACCGGAACTTTTCCCCAGTGTGGAAAATTGTTCTGTGTGGCATAATCCATGCAGAACTGCTTACAAATCCCATTTGTATGTTTTGATTACCAATAAGAAAAAAACTACAAATAAGTATTTTAACCATGATTTCTAGTAACTTTTTAATGTTATAGTTTTGTAATATAAACTTGCAGCCACACCTAGGTTGATAAAGCCAAGCCTCAAGTGAGTTTAGAGAAAATGGAGTCACAAGACATCATGCAAAAGATGAGTATGGGCTCATCACCTGCCCCAGAAACCTCAGAGATGTGCTGAAGGATGGCTTTCACTCAGAAGCCCTGCTCTCAAGGTCCACACCAAGCTCATTTATGCCACTAAATGCTTTGTATTTGATTTGAGTGCCAGACCATACATGGTCTGGTATGGTAAATACTGTGATCTTTTTTTTTCCCTTTCAGGCTTTTACTCCCCAGGTGTAACCATGTGCTCAGGTAAGAATAACCACAGAGAAGTCTGCTTACAGTTCTTGTTTCTCCCACTGACAAAACCCTGGTTGAGAAAGGATGAATCAGATGCACCAGCACAGCTCAGTTCAGCTCAGAGTCCCTTCAGCCACACAATATTTAACATGCATTATAACTGTTCACCTTAACAACACTCTAAGGGCCAAATCACCTCAAGGTGTGCAGGTACCTGGAAATCATACACAGCATCCCCAACAAGCAGAAGTACAATTGCAAAGGTGCTGGAGCGAGTTACAAAGACAAAAGCACACACAGAGATAATGTGAACGATACCTGTATTTATTCTTTTTTCCCCAGAAGCCCTGAGGACAGGAATAGGAAAGTTCCAGTAGAAATGTCAGAGGGACAGTTGAGCAACATTTGAACCGGTGAGCCCAGGATCTCAAATTTGAAAACTGACACACAAGGAGTGTGATGTATCAAAAAAGCAGACTGATCTATTTCATATTTTTGAACATAAAAAGTTTTCTATTTAGTGAAGGTATATTGATCTTTGGAGAGAGATGCCTTCTTAGATTTCTTCTTCTAGCACAGCTATAGATGAACTTGGGAAAAGGAGAAAGCTCCCCCAAACCCTTGGAATTATGTCTGACCAGGTCTAATTAGAATGCTTAGGTGACAGAATCCAAGACCTGTTTCATGTATACATGCTGAGTGGCTCTTGTAGAGAAATAATTGGATAAAAAGTGTCAATAATTAACATGGGTTAAGGTAAGGTTTGTCCCACACTGGACCAGGGGAACATAGAAGTGCAACATGGGATGTGCAATCTACACGTTTTCCTATGAAGGGTCAATGGTTCATCTTGGCTTAAGGTGAAAAAATGAAAAAGATGTAGAGGAAAAACACCAGAAGAGCTTTAAAAAAAGTCATCACTGGCTGTCAACCTGTTCCAAAATCCAGGTACCTCTGTCTGAGCTGGCCATTTCTGAGTCACCTACCAGGGAACCTTAACTCTGAAAATTCTCCTTCTGCATGGAAGAGGCACTCCAGGAAGACTTTGTTGGTTTTGAATATTTTTTTTCCTCCAAGCATCCATGCTTTTAATAAAGGAAGGGGAAAAGCACACAGATCATGTGATAGGATCAGGTGTAGCTGCCAGATTGCACAGTTGGGTCCAGACAGGAAGTTTTAGCTGATAATTCTAGAACTGATGTGACTGAGTAGCATCCTAAGAATCACAGCATGGTTTGGGTTAGGAGGGACATTAAAGACCACCTATTTCCAGCCCCTCTAGCAGAGGCAGGGACACCTTCCATCAGACCAGTGCTCACAGTGGGACATAACTGGCTAACCACACTTTTCTTTTTTTTTTCCCCTCAGATTTTTGCCATTTCCATTACCAGTTTTGGTCTTTGTGATATTTATTAAAGGCCCACAATGGGAACTCCATGGGTCAAGTGCATATACTGTTTGCTGGGGACTTTGTAGTGCTGATGTTTCATGGCCGCAGCAAAGGAGGGCTAAGAGTCACTGCACAATATAAACTTCCTATTCTTCTTACAGGGAGAAAACATGTTTTATAAATGAACACCTTCAGCCTGTGCAGGCTCAAGAATCTCTGGAATAGTGGCACAATGACCTTTGTGGTTCTTTGAAAGTTAATCACCAAGTGTCAGTTAAGTTTGGACTGTCTGGGAATCCCAGCATCCAATGATTACTATCACATTCAGATGTGTGAGGGGAGTTGTTGGGTTTGTGTGTTTTCTCTTCTCTGCGTATGTGATTTTGTCCTTAGTATCAAATCAGCTTAGCAGTTGATTCAACTGACTTGGTGATGAACTTGGTTTGTCCTTATCCACATTTTCACCTGGAATCTTCACCGCCACATTAGCAAGACTAATAGCCAGTAGAAGTGGCTTTACCTTCCAGTGCAGTCAGTAGATATTATGTGAAATTCTGCCTCTTTATTTTCAGTATTTCAGAAGTATATCAACTTGTATTGAAGAACAAAATATGTCTTCCAAATTACAGAGCTCTTGCAAGATAAATATCAAAAGTCAGCAGTAATCGCTTTCTATGCAGTATTTGCACAAGTCAGAAAGTATTTGGCAGAACTGTAAATTGGCTTTTGTCTGAGGTGGTCAGAAGCTACACAGAATTGTTAAAATTTTCCCAGTTTTTAGTTCTTAGAGTCTCCTTACACCTCCAACAGGTGAGTAACTAAGCCTGTGCTATAGAGAATCCATTCTACTCTGTAATGAGCACTTTATTGGAGACTTTTGCAGGTCACTTTGAAATTGATTTTCAAACACAACCCTCCTGATTCTCTTGTTTTTTCTTTACCCATAAAGCTGTATGAAATGTTGCAAAAGCACAACTGGTCACTGTTTCATTCTCTCTCCTTAAGCTTTACTGTAGCCAGCAAACGAGTTTGGGAGATTTGTTTAAGTACCCAGCCAAGAACTACAACCCACAGTGGATCCAGCTGCACATTAACTCTCTGGAGTTAGAAGATTCCAGATGCTTGTGTTTATATCTGGGTCCTTTAGACACACTCTGGGGCTTTAGCCTGATGCAATTTTATCAGTTCCAAGCCAGGCAGTCCACTTGAGTGATCTTCTTAAACTTCTTATTTTCACCTCATAATGGAGCTTTTTTGACTGCAGTTAAACAGAAGCACATTCTGTGTTCATCTAGAGACTTCCACAATGTGCTGTCCAGGAGCAGCTCTGAAAGATACTGGGATAGCATCTTGGGAAGAAGCAGACCAGGATGATCTTTGCCATTTCAGCTTCTCCATCTATCATCTTGGTGCCACAGCTGCCAGGACTGACTTAGCTCCTGGAATTCAGTTTGCAGAAATCAAACTCTACTCTGTTTATCATCTGAAGGTATCAGCTGATTTGGATTTTTTTACTGTGCACCAAAGTATTTGTAGAGGTGCTGCAGCAGCTGCTGTGCTGCTTGGTGTGGCTTACTTTGAACAGTAAGCTGAGAAAATGCTCTGTGAATTGCCATCCCTGGCAGCAATCAAATTGTTTTAAAAGTATTTTTCTCCCTGAAGGCATGAAAGTGGAGCATTAAACACACGTACTATCCAAAGGAAGTACAAATTACATGAGTCTCTTAGGAAGGAAAAGAACCAAGCCCCAAAACCTGAATAGTTTACCCAAATTATGTACAAGTCATAAAGCATCTCTATTTCATGCATACTTCAAATAATTATCAACTTCTACAATGCATTCAATTCCATACCATGGTATCTTTTCCAAAATTAATATTCATTATCAAGTAAGTTACACTTGGAAACAATTTAAAAATTACACCTGTAAAAATGTGCTTGGCAAAGTACTGTAGTGTAAATACAAATATCTTTGATTAAGGGTTTTGCAGTTGCACTCTTGTAATGAAGAAGTGCAGGGGTGATTAAGAATTTAATTCAGTGCATAGTTAAACTGGTTGGCAAACTTCTCATGCTTCCTTTGGTCCACCCGGTTCATGGCTTTCATGACTCGTTTCATGGCCCCTCTGAAAGAGAAACAAAACAATAATAATAGTTCTGTTGAGTCTACTCAATCTCCGAGAACATTTATGAATCTTGGGGAATTTGATTAATCACTACTAGGCTTCTGAGCGTGGCATTGATGAGGCTGAACAAATTTGTCTTGTTAACTAAATTAGCTGCAGCAATATAAATAGTTTAATTCAGCAATGATTTTATTAACAGGAGTAAACAAGTCTTTCAGTTTAATGGCTGTGTATTCCACCCTCCCAGCATTATTTCTTACAGCCACATGAAGCAAGTTTGATTTTCAAAAGCACCTAAGTGCTCTTGGAGAAAAAACCCCTGAAAGTATCTAACAAGATCTTAAAAAAATCAGTACTCAGAAACCCTTATGAAATCAAACCCACAATCCAGAATGTTTTTGTGAGGGAAGGGTTGGCTGTTCAGTTCATGTGAACTTCCACAGGTTACTAGAACTCTCTTTCATCAGATATGGGCTGAGTTAGACTCTTTTGCTCACACCAGCAACATCCCCATTCCTGACCAGCAGCTTTTAATCCACAAGAACAACTCTAGTTCAGGAAGACACCAGAGATTATTGTGTATCTCTCCAGGACAGGCTTCTGCTGCAGAAGAGCTCAGAGTTTAGCACAGGCAGGTCAGTATGGCCAACACCTCACTCACACATCACGTGCAAATGGGATTGCTGCTGCCTCAGGGTGGGCAAACACCTGAGCCCCCTGCATCTCCTGCTCTGCTTGGAGAAGGCTCTGGAACATCCTTCAGGTTCAAAAAGGAAGTGAGGGAATGAACTTCAGAGCTGCTAAGCTTTCTAGTGCTCTCAAATCCAGTGAGGGCCTGTCTGTCTCCCTGTTGCTGCTCCATTTGCTGCCATTGCTTTCTCCCAGTGAAGATGTGCTCAAGAGATTTCTCCAGGGAGGGGCTGCAATGCTTCTGAGCTGGGTAATTCAGACACCTGCACTTTTTTCCCCACCACAAACTTGTGTGAGAAGATCATACAGCCAAGATTTTGAAGGTAAGGAAAATGATGAACAGGAGTAGGAGATTGTCATGAAAGGCAGAAAGAGAGTAGGCCCCTACATCCTCCAGCTGGTAAGGCAGAGGAATGGGTTCACAAATCCAAAAGAATAAGAAGCAGCAGAAGTAGTCAGGAAAATGTTCTATGGTGAACATCTGCCCTCTCAGAAACTTAGAGCAGCTGCTGTGCAGAGCTGAGGGCACTTCGCCTCAGGAATTTTGCTCCTCGCTGGATTCTGAAGTTCCAATTTTTACTGGTTACTTTTACTGGTTTTACTGGTTACTTTTACTGGTTCCATGCCTTTAAATACCTCTGGAACAAAAGCTCAGCTATCTGAGGCTCGTGTTTGCAGGTGTTCTCAGCTGTCACCCCGCCTATGAAGGGTGTTATCTCCTGACACATCTCCAGGTAAGCATTTGGCTGCTCTGATGTGGCAGGGAGAGCAGCTACAGGCTTGGTTTGAGGGACTGTGTCCCATTCAAAAGCAGGGCACTGACTGATGTCCCCTTTGATTTCTACAAGTTTGGCAAGTTCCATCACACAAACAGATGGTTTCAAGGCCCATGCTGTTAAGACTCTACATTGTCACAGTCTGCATTTATCACTTCTGAGGATGTTCCCCGCAGTGCAGGAAAATGAAGATAAGACATGCACCTGGGCAGTGTTCCTCAGCCTCTTTCAGGATCAGCCCTTACACACTATTCCAGCTCTCCTTCCAGGCTTATCTCCAATAAACAACCTGACTTCTGGTTTGGTAACTGTTCTCTGTAATGGCTTCATTTCCAAAGCCATTTTGAAACATCTGAAAGAGGTTTCTTCTTAATAACACTCTAAATGGTGGGATTAAAGATTTTCTCAGCAGCAACTGCAATGAAAACCAACATTCTGAAAAAACACCCTGGAAGAGGTATACTTTCAACAAAATTCGCCAATAAAGTTACCAGAGTAAGGAAAATGTTGTCATGGTTTTGCACTTCAAATATTACCTAATTGGTAGGAGAAAAGTGAGCCTTTAGCAGTGCAGAGTGGCCTTGCCACTTTCATGTCATGTAGGTTTTACATTAGCACCAGTGGATTGTGTGATACTGTAAATGAAATGAGATCCCACTTTGATGATCTGTGTGCAATTTCACTTAGCTTTATTGGCAGACTAGAGCCTGGGTTTATCACCTATACATTTCAAGTAATTTGGGGTTGTTATAAGGAGCCAAGGTTATCATCTTGTTTAGTGCTGCAAAGCATGAAACCTATTAAAAACTTGACAGGTTTGATTCCCTATGCCTGGCACTAGCACACACTCAAAATCATTAGCACAAAGCACAGTAAACCATGATATGAAATTCTGATCACTAGAACTGTATGTTTCTAACTTCTAACTAAGACTAGGTGACATGAGAAATTGACATAAAATGTGGCTATTTCCATAACCAAAAATAATGTGGGTTTGGCTTTGTTATTATAACCAGTACATCAGAGAAGAGAAAATTGAGTTTTAACAAATATTTTGTCTTGGATGCTGTTCAACTCATCCTGTATGCTTGGAGAATAACCCACCATTAATGATTTTACAATAATAATTTTTCTTTTTTGATTTGGCAACTTTACTTTCCTTTGACTATTTAATTTTTGACATGTGAAACTCTCTAAATAGCTGCAGCTGCTTCCCATTTGATAAAGACCAGAGCATGCTTAGGCAAATTTATACTGTAGCCACATCTAAGCAAGAACAGGCATCAAAAATGGTGTTAATAGTGGACAGATGGAGCTACTGCATGTTTTAAAGCACATTTGGGAGTGGCTGGCAGGTTCCCACAGCCACCTGAGATGCTGTGCCTGACTAATAAATGATCATCCAGAGAAGCCAATCCAGCAATTTAAGTTTTAAAAAAACTGAGACAGGATGAAAAAAGTTTTTCAAAGGGAAATTTTGCAAATTAGTCAAAAATCACTCTCAAAGAAATAACCTCGGTTGTCAGTACCTGCTATTTTTTACCCACCAGACATATGGAAGATATTCTTGCTTGCAGTTAGCCAAAGAAGCTGTTTATTAAGTGCATGTTAGTGTACTGTTGAATCAAACAGAAACAGTAATTAACAGGCATTACAGAATGGAAGTATCTTACTTATTGAAGACTTTCTTCTCAAGCCGGGAACGAGACGTGTTAGCCTGTTGCTTCAGGTCTGTCAGATTTGGATATTTTTGCTTCTTCCCTTTCTTTTTCTGTCCTTTTCCATTACTTTTAGAGGAACCAAGATCCAATCCTGTAGCAGCTTCAACTTCTCTCATGAATTCTGGATCTCGCCACTCTGTTCACAATACAAAACATGAACTTTGAAACTCCAAACCCAGGGAGGATTTGCAGTCCCCTGAGGAGAGGTTCTTGTCACCAATGGGTGAGGGCAGAGCCACACAAGTTGCACACACAAAGGAAGGGGAGGATAAGGCATCTTCCCAAAATGACAGATCTGGATGAAGAAGCCCTGCCAGTCTGGGTTAGTATGTATTAGTAACTGCTATGGATAAAACCATTCTGCAGGAAGACATAAGTCACGGTTTTTCAGTGCCACAGTAGCAAAGTTCCAAGGAAACTATTCCATGTAGGAGAGGTGAATAAACACAGTGATTATTATTTAGAAATGAAAATGCCAACAATGTAGCCGAGGAACTTATCTGCAGAAATAAATTCTGCATAAGCTTAAAAATAAACCTAAAAAATTTGAATATATCAACCTTTTAGCAGAGTAGGGCTGGCAACATTGTGATTTTTTTTTTCATCAATGATACTTACTTTAAAATGTGAACCGGTATCTGACATCTACATAAAATTCTTGAGTAGGACAACATGACCCTGTTGCCATGACACCCACTTTGCATCTGAAAAAGATACTACTTTCTAAGTATCCCACATTGCCTCATATTAATTATCAAAATCAAGTTTCTTCTCTTGACAATGGCAACAGGTTAATTTATCTAAACAAAATCTTGGTTTACATTTTTTCAAAACCTTAATGCTCCACAATCCACTGTAAGTGGGTTCTGAGCCTAGATGCCACCAGAGCAAAAAGCATGAACAATTTAGACTGTGGACTGTTCGAGGAAGCTGAAGTTTTTCACCTTCAGTTTAGTCTTGTGTATCAAAATAAGGTAGAACAAAGTAAAAATGTGGCTGGAGGATGGACATCTGCCAAGGGGAAATTTTGAAAATTTACATTTCATTGTAAAGACTTTGAGAATTTAGGTTGGAAAAATTTGTAGAAAGTACTACTTCAAAAAGAACATGGTCCACACTCAGCAGAAATGTCAGAAGTCTGAATTTTAACAACAGTAATTGCCAGTTATTTGTCATAGTTTCCCTTATGTCAGTCAGCCTTTCTTGCCTGCAGAAATTGTAACACCAAACGTCTACTCCTCTTACATAACAACCTTGTAAATATAGAAAAATAAACAGTCCTAAAGGACTATACAACTTCATTTATACACCAAGACAGTCACTGAGTGTGACAAACGCTGCTAACAACATTTCAGGAAGGTCAGAGGCAATGTCCTCACTTAAGAACACAGTGTTAAGGAACAGCAGAGCAATTTTCCAAGGAAAGGTTAGATCTAAACTACCATCATACATGAAAGCAAGGACTGCTTAAAATCCAACATGCCAAAAAGCATGAGGAAAACCAAGCTGTTCAGGAGTTGCACAGGAGAGTTACAAAGGGAGAAAATAGAACACATATACTTGATAGATCATAAGACCTCACAGATATTTTTTTTTTTTTTGAAGTGAGGGAATACAGAACAGCACAATTCAGATACAGGAACGATTAATCCAAGATTAAGGAAAAGTGTCTAAACAGTTTATCTCCCAGTAATAAGAAGGCGTCACAGTTTAGGAACCCCGTGAATAGAGCAATTGTTTAAACACAACGAAAAAATGCCGGCATCCAGTAGAGATGAAATGAGCATTTGAGTAAAATGAAGGAGCAATTTAAAAGCTTTTGAGAAAAATCAATAGAATGCCAGGGAAGAGCAGGCTTTTTGAGCATTGATGGGCCCCTAAAGCTCTTCATACATTGTTACTGAGTTTAGCAGCAGGGAAAAGAAAATTACACAGTTTGCAAGGGTAGGCGGGAATCAATACTGTAGTTAGTAAAGAGATGCTATTTCACATCTGAGTGGCCAGCGGCCTGCCTTCACCAGCCTGTCCTGATACCTGTTTGTTAACAAGTCACTAAGGGCTGAAAAACCAGATACTCTTCAGGGTTGACACAAAAAATAGGCACTTAATTTGCTCCTGTGTGTGAACTATGGGAAAAGGATGAACGCTGCAGATTAGTGGGTCAGTGTAATCCCAACTGATTCACTGCTCCAGGACTGAAGAGCCCAAAGCACCTTTCTGTGGACATTAGCTAGAGTTTAAAATTTTCTGCTAAGATAATAAATGATCCATAATAACAATGACTGTGTTGTCAAACAGTCATTAGAACACAAACCATACGACTTTTATCTGTTTCCCCCTTTAATCGCACAAACATAGAAATAAATCTACCATCCAGTAGGAAGGAGATGCAAGAAGAATTTTGGTGCAATTTAACCATACAACTGATCCCCAAATTTAAATTTTTTTCCAGATTTTTCAAACTGCCATTATTAATGATGTGGTCAATCAAACAGTCCCTGACTGTCCAGTGGGTTCCCAGTTGTGTATTTCCCACAGCAGCACTGGTTAGATTTGCTTCAAGACCTTTGTAATAAAAAAACATCCCAAAACCAAACACCACTGAAAACCAACCAAACACACCCCTCCAAACCACCAGCCTCAAAACTAGCAGAAATTATTTTAAGTTGATGAAAATGCTCTCAAGCAAATATAAAAATAGTAAGGCAGAGCAAAAAAGAAAGTGGATAGAAGTATTTAGTGACATCTGGTATATGTATGGCTTTAGAAACATGGAGGGTTTTGTCCAAATTAAGTGCCACAGCTTGTGCAGTAAGTCCCCAGCCAGATGGGATGGACCTTTGTGTGACATTTCAGCTTAACAACCACACTCAATAACACAAGGAGCAATGCCAGCACTGCTCTGGGACTAACAGACACATCCTTGTGGACCAGAGGTGAGAAGCCTCTAACAACACTGAGCTGACACTGTAATAAAAATAAATACTATGTCTAGCCTCAAGCAATGGCAATTTCACAGGAAAAAAAAAAATCAATATTTTTCAGTCCAAGTGATTTTTATACCAGAATATTAGTTTCTAGTTTGAGATTTCAAGAACACCTATCAGTTTAATTTGCTGGTTTGAGTTTGTCGTAACTAAGCTGGGAACTTTCCCTCTTAACACAACATCCACACCTCTATCCCGGTTTCCCTGTGACAGTCCAACAGTGTCTGTGCTGCTGGCTGGATGCCAGTTCAGAGCACTTTCTCTGCTTGGACAGGGATGGAAACTACCTGCAAATGTAGCACTTTGACACCTGCAAATACCAGAAGGTGTTCAGTAATTGCTGCACTGGTGTGCTGCTGTGATCACCAAGCACTGTCACCCAAAGATGGTCAAACAAGTATTAAAGGACACTGGGTGGGCCAATTCTATGTTTAAATGCACTCTGATTCCACACAGACCTTTCTGAATACAGATTCCTGTTCTGAATACAGGTAACTGTTCCTCAGGCTCTCAAGAGGTTTCATTAAAGGTTCAGTAGCTTCATTAATAATATGCATAACTGTCAAACACCAAGTCAGTCAAACCTGAAGAGAGAACTCCTGCAAGGAAGTATGGCACAGGATACCAAAATGCTAAGGCCTATGGGTAAGTTTAATTAAAATGCAGTATACTCACCTACAATAAATAGCTCAAACCAGTAAAAACTAAGACCTGCTGAAGGAAGCTACATTAAAGAAAAGCTGTCCCCTCCAATTATACGCTGTGTCTTTGCTGGATAGATCCCTCTCTCTCATCTTCCTTTCCAGTCCATTAATTGCCAATACCTTCCTGGTTGTAGTCCACCAGGTTATCTTCTGTCCACCATTAATAGGGTTTAGTTGTACTATTGCAAGATAACCTTTTATTCCCCTGGGAAGTCTTCCTCCCTGGGTACTCACTGCCCGCATTTCTCACCTACCAGTCCAGAGCTGCACCTTAGTTAAAAATGCCCAAATTATCTTGGGGAAGAAGGAGTTTTCCCCTCCACACCTGAAGGCTGCAGCCAGGATGCAAGAAGGACAATAGTTTTGTTGCCCATTCCCAATTGTTTAAAAACAAAAATCCAGCATGCCCACCCAAAACTGGTGGTAACACAACGATCCTAATAATATTATCATTATATTGCATAAATCACAACTGTTAGGGACCAGCAAGATTAGACATCTTTGCAGAACCACAGGAACAGTTACTGTCAAGCACTTCCCAGAGAACAGGTCCAACCATCCTTGACAAACATGTTCCTTAAGACAAAGGCTGTAACTTGTCTGTCTGAGCAGTGTTTGGAACATTACAAAATCCACTGGAAATAAAGCACAAATGCAATGTTATTCTGTCTACACATGTATCCATATTTATCACATAAGAAAGAACCACTGCAAATGAGCTGTAATTTAAAATCAACAGGAATGCAAATGGAGAATGTGGTTAGGAGGAAAACAGATAACAGGTATTTCCCACCTCTGACTAGTATTTAAAAAATTTTTATTTTTTTAAGATGCTATGCAGACACAGACCTGGCTGGGCTGCTTGTTTCTCAAACTTCATCTTTTCTTCTCTGGCTCTGTCCTCTGCATTTACAGGAATCCCAGAGTCATCCCGAGGAATTATCTTTCCATGGAAAGGGCACTTGAGAAAGAAAGGGGGGAAAGAAAAAAATCTCACCATTTTTGAACGAAAAGAAAATGTCTACCTTTTATTCAACACAGCTTAAAGCTGTAAACAGAATTGAGCAACAAAACTGCACTTGACTCCCAGTCCTCTTTAGAAAGCATCAGAATCCCATAAACATAATGTGTTTAAGATATTCAGAATCTCAAAGAAATAACATTTGTTTCTTTTTGAAACAAATACCCAATTTCAAGAGATCAGGTAGCACGTCCTGTCAAGTCTGGAACCAGGGCACCAATGCTACATCATATATTGTTGTTTATGCTATATCCCTGTCCTGTAACAATCCCATTAAAAGTCTGAACTGCATTCAGATCCTTCAATCTCAGACAACACCGGAAGAACAGAGATATTAGAACAAAGTACTTAAGCGAAGTAGTTCTGCTCAATAGTGCCCATAATTTGAGGCTGTGTAGAGTTTAGCTTTCATAAAACATAATTTGTGATTAATTTTTTTTTGCCCCTTAAACATGTAAGTTTCTAGAAACAGTTAATATCAAATATGCCTCTGAGGAAAAATTTTCAGCAGAGAACTATCTCTGCCCTACTGCCAGGTACTCACACATCACAGTAATAAATAAAATCCAGATAACCTACAATGAATGCCAAAAAAATTTGACAGCTCTTTAAATGTTTACAGCTTCTTTACCAAAAGGATGTTTCCCTTACAGAGCACATATTAACAATGAACTTCTCCAACACAATGTTCTTCCACTCCCTTGAGCTATAGTTACAATGTGAAATAAATTTTTATGGATGTTTTAAGGAGATCTCCACACAGCACAGATCTTGGAAGTGATGTAACTTGGTGCCTACCTTAATCCGATCTTGTCTTTCACACAGTCTTCCATCAGGCATGGGTGCTCGACATTTATGTTTCACTGGCTCAAACTTGCCAGCAAATGTGATATACCTGGTTTTTAACATTTCTGTTATTTCTTTATTTTCCACCTCTTCCTCTACTTCACTGGGTGCCCAAAATCGGTGCTCAGAGGTAAATCTGCAAAAACAACAAATGAAAATAATTTACACACAAAATTGTAAGAAAACACATAGAGATGATAGAGATGCTATTAGCAACCTGTGCTAAACTCACATGTGAAAGGAAGGGAATTACTAGTGAATTAAAAGCCCCTAGGAATCTACCATCCTTTCTTATGGGTCCTGTATTATGAAGATATTTTTAAAATACCACAAAAGCCTGTCTAGTATTGATTTCCTGTTTAACCTGCTAAGCTATTACAAGTCTTAGATTTAGTTCATGATCTGACACCAAGAGTCGGTTATCCAATTTCCAGATTCACTGAATAACTTTGTAATTCTGTACTTAACATTCTTCATAACAAAATACTTCTGTGATTAAGCACAGAAGACAGATCAAGGAGGAAACAGTTTGATCTTAACGTGGCTGATCTCATTCCTGATAGCTGGACTCCTGCAGCAGTAGAGGAGCAAAAGCTGGAATCCAGAGGATGCTGCAATAAACTGAGACCACAGGAAAGAGCAAACAATCAGCTGAGCCTTACACAGATTCTTTCTTCCAGATTCTCCTACACAGTGTCATAAATCTGAGAAATTAGCAAATGTTCCTCTAGGAAATAAAGCTAATCCATTGAAAATCTATTTTAAAGTTAGAGACTTTACCTACATTTACAGACAGACAAACAGATTTTCTCAACAGTATTAATATAATTTCATTTTAGCCACCCTTAGCTGCCAACAGCCTGCACTGAAAAACAGGCAACCCCAGAGAGCAATTACCTGACTCATTCTAGATACTAATCTTAGGAGGCAATGACTGTCCCTCTGATGGTAAATGTTTCTTTCTCTTAATCATGAAAAGGAATTAGGGTGACCAGCTTAAGCTTAGGAATCTGATTTTAAGATATCTGACGTTAATAATCCCACCCAAACTTAAGGAAATATGAAATTAAAGAGGAAAAAAATACAGCTAAACTAAGGAAAAAAATTGCAGCCTGCATGTCTGTTGCTCATGACAAGCAAGATAGAGACACCTAGATGTCTTGATAAGGACATAAAATTCCTAAAGGCACCTTACAATTCCTTTCTTCCACGTAGTTCTTCAGCCCAATCAGTTCCAGAGTTGAGAGGATTTTCTCTATCCATATCCAATTCCTCTCGCTCACTAATATCCCTGGGTGTCATTCCTGCTTTGCTTTCTGTGGACTGCAGAGCCATATATACATGAACACTGACTTCACTCATCACACCAGCCACAATCTGGCAAAACACATAAGCCAATACTTGAAAGAGTTACTTTAGAAGGCCTGAAAAGTTTTGATTAATTTTACTTGATCAAGTTTTCAGCAGATGCCAAAGGAAAAAAAAGTAGAGGAAAATATCTGACCATAGCAACCTATGACATACATAGCTGCTGGTTTTAATGCAATAGTTGAGCATTTAAACTATGTAAAGAGGTTAGAGCTAGGTTAAAAGGGGATTAAGGAAACTCTGAAACATCTCTGTGATTTGCCATCATCAGAAAAATGTTCAATAAAATTCTTGTTAAACAAATTGATTTTATCTGTAATTTCTCCATCAAATGAACCTTACTAGTGCCAGAGAAATGCTAACCTGCCATAAAGTACAAATAACTTTTTTCTGGTAAATTAGAGGATAAAGGCCAAAGAGTTCCAGTGGAAGCTAGTTCAACACTAAACACAGTAAAGTATTTCCACAGTTTTTGGTTAAACAAAATATTTTTAATTACACACTTCTGCAAAAAGTAGCAAAAAAACCCAAAAGCCCTGAGAGGCTTTCTAAAAAATCAGTATCATTTCTGCCCAATGTTTGAACAGTACAGTATTTTAACTTCAGAAATTATGTGGCAAGATTATACAATAGAGAATAAATAAAATAATGACATCAATTTCTTATTTACTTGTTTTAATGCAATGCTGAAAGCAAAACTGACTGGCAGCTCTGTGTCACTAACCTTGCAGCCACATGGAGGGAAAAGCATTCCTAAAAAAGGCACCATACAGGATTTTCACATGCATGACAATCTTGCAGAATCTCTTAGTAAAATTTTAGTGTCCTTTGGTGGTCTGAACTCCCCTCCCCTTCCAATTATCAAATTACAGTTACATGAGAAGGAAGAAGCATTTAACAGTTGTGCATGTCAACCCTTCCAGTTAGGAAATAGCTCTATTTAATAATTTCTCTGTCTCCCTTCCCTTAAATATGTACCCAACAAATGTCAAGAAGATTTAAATTATGGTTTGCCCTATGTATCATTGACCAGTATTTGGGAACTGAACTTAAAATAGACTGATTCCTAAAAATATATTAGTACATGTTTATTACAAGCATATAACTTATTTTCTCCCAACACGACTTAGAAGCAGGTGAGAGAAAAACAAAGCAGTGGCAATTCACAAAGTTTTCTGATTTTGTGAAGTAAGCAACATTATAAACAGGCAGATACTTGTTTGAAAAAAATGATGCATGTGACAAGTAAAACCTGTTTGTAAGATGGATCAGAAGAGGAACAGATGATCAACTAAAAGATTAAAAATATCAACACCTCAATCACATTTAGAGTGCTCCTAATCCAGATAAATAACAGAGGTTTTAATGGCAATGACACAGCAATAAATGAGGAGGAGGAGGAATAAAAGACAAGTAATGGCTAACTGAAATCTAAGAGAAAGCTTTTGGAGAACTGCTGCACTATTTCAATGAACTTGTATAATCTTCATTTCTAATCTGACAGGAAGCTTATAAAAATATTGTATAAATATAAATTCTATAAATTCTATAAATTCTAGAGCCAGATGCTTACAGAGATCCTGAAGCAAGTGCAAAAATGGGCTAATTCAAACATCCTAGTCACAGTCAGTGCTGCACCAGCTATTTCACTCTGTTTCTAAGAGTAAACTGCTTTCATTCAAGGAGCAGAGTATATGAGTTTGGAACATCCATGCTATCCAAAATAAGTCTGTTAAACTGACATAGCAGAGTCTACACAATTCAACACTGTGCAGCATACACTACCTTCTGCCCTTCCAAATAAAAGCCCAACAAAACTTTATTAGAAAATCTTCCTGGTAGCTACATTCTCACTGTTAAAATCTTAATTTATTGTAAATGCTGTGATTAAGTAAGTGTACTGCTAAAGGAAACAGAGACTTTTCCCCTTCAGATTTTAAAAATTCTAATTCCATACACACCCCACATGTGTTGTCTATTCTTCAGTTTGCTTTTTTCCCCTAAGAATCTTTCAGAGCCAGTATGGGTGCATATAGAAATGCTAAAGGAGTTGACTGATAACTACCTTAATTTTCAGTAAGTCTATTTTTATGCCTGGGGTCAATGGTATTGTGTGTGCAGAGTTACTTAAATTATCTTTAGTTAGATTGGCACATCTGTAGTTATGGACTATATGGTTCAGAAATGTGCCCTCTATTTTATTGGGAAGCATAAAAATAAACCAGTACAGCACAAGGAAGACAGGCAGTGAAATATGCTTCTGATTTCACTTATGACTTGAATAACTCATTTGCAATGTAAAATAGGCCTTACTACCTTTTTGGCATTATCACAGACAAATGCTTCTTAAAGCCCTGCTGAAAATCTCTTCATAGGCTTTGAAGAGCCTATACCACATGAGATGGAATCCAAAGCCTGGAGTGACTGTGGTAAAAGCACTTTTATGCATCAAATTGCAGCAGTTTTCAGTAATTTAACAGATATTCAGTATTTTACAAAATCAGGTGCAGGGACAAAGATTTCCTCTTGTTCCTTCCTGTCAACACTGTTTTAGCACTGTGATTACAGGCTGGGGGTTTTTTCTTTGTTTTGGTAAGAAAACAAGCTAAGTTAAAGAAATATTTCTAAGAATATAATAGCTTAATTTACAACCCAGCCAGTCAGTGATTTTTGCCTTTTTCAAGCCAGCTATGGTACACACTGATACCAAAATTCTGGTGGACTTAAACAAAATGTATACATAGAGGGAGGACTTTGCAACCCAACTTTCATTTAAAAATAGTGAAAAGGGTTTTAAAAACTGACTGCTAGAAATAAATTCTGATGTGTACCTACCACCTTTTCTCCCCAGCAGTGCTAAAGCTTTCACTGAGTCAGCAATGCTTGGTGAAACACAAAACCTCCCAGAGAGCAATGGAAAGTGAAAGATCCAAATCCAAATCCTGTAACTGCCGCCTTTCTCTTGTGTAACTGAATAAGCCTATCGGTTTCCCCAGTTACCACTCTGTGAAGTCAGGAAAAACATTTCCCCAGCCTTTCCCCTACCTTGCCTGTTACTTATTTAGATATTTATTTACTTATTTATGCAGAGCCCTTTGCATAAAGAGGTACCAGCCTAAATTGGAGTAACTGATGCCATACTGCAAACATAAAAAGAGCAGGGAAAAAAAGTGCTTTGAAGCATCAAAGGATATTTAATTAGTATCACATCTTCTCAAAACAAATAACATTTAAAGGTAGAATAAACCTTCTAAAGGTTTATGGGTCCTACAACACAAGGTAAAGAAGAAAAGTAATTATCAAAAGAAATAGCAGTCACCTTACTGCATGACCTCTGAGTACAAGTAAACCTATTTATTTGTTTAATTCATCTTAAAAGAAAAAGAGCCTTACTTGAGAATCTTCCCAGCACTTGGCTGATCCTCTCCCCAGTAATGAAGATCTAATCCAAAAGGCATGAGGGGAGCTTTTGCTCTTTCTTCTAGTTTTCTTCTTTTACTGTCAGGATCTTCCAAGTTTGCTGTCTCAGAAGTTGCAGATTCACTGGAGAAAATTGATGAGAAGTCAATACAGAACACCAATGACCACAACAACTTTTTCTTTTTTTCTGTTTTAATTAGATTTTTTTTAGACCAACACTCATATAACCTTACATGTACAATTACAACTACTTTTCAAGGTTGTTCTTTTTATTTTTTAAAGGAAGACCATATGACACAACACCACACACTCTGCAGCTCACTGCATGTTCAGCTAGTGCTGGCTAACAGGTATCACACTGTGGGGGCAGAAGCCCAGGGATCTGATGGGGGCAGCAGTGGATCATGCATGTAGCACTCCCACAGGAGCCACAGATGTGGTACTGGAAATCTCAGATTAATTCCAGTTTGCTAAGTTTTGGGGCTTTCCTGGCCCATGCAGAAGAGTCTTTCCAGGAACATGCCACTAAACAGATGGGTCCAGCCTTATCCTCAAATCACAGCCAAATGCTAGACAAGGCTGGAGTTTCACCAAACTTTGAACAGGATTGATAACAAATATGTCTTTGGAAGCAATATAACATCTCCAGGCAGCACTGACACCATAAGTCAGTGGGAACAAAGAGATGTTGAAACTACTTGCTAACTGAACATTAGGATACACTCTGCTCAGCTGCAAACAAAATTTACCCAAATAAATGGGGTGAGGTGTGTTGTTAGCAAAGAAAGGAACAGTATATTTTCATAAAGGCCATTTACACCAAATAAGATCTATATTAACTGAGCAGTAAACGATTCCTTAAGATCTTGGTGCAATCAGCAACAAAATCCCAAACATTAAGCAATAAATGTAACTTCAAAATGAGATCAAGTCAGCCTTGTCAGCTTGCCTGGTTCACGAATGCTTTTCTGTGTGCTGTCATGACTAATAAACACGAGAGCAAGAGGTTTGTACAAGAACTAAAACAAAGATGACCTGGTATGAGGAGATGGTAACTTTGGTAGTTTGTCTCTGAGAAGTTTCAGGGTGGCAGCTGCACAGGTTGGATCGAGCTCATCCTCGCTCCCTTTGAGTGGAGGGCGGGACCTCAGGGGAGCTGCTCCCATCGATGCCTTTGCCACCGGGGCTTTTGAAGGTGATTGGGGTTCAAGACCTGCAAAAAACCCTTGATGTTTACGAGTGATTCACTTCTCCCACCCTCACAGTCCACCCAAAACAGCTCAGGGTGCTGACTATGTCTTCCTGCTTTCAGTTTGCGTAAGACATCAATCCCACCCAGAGTAAAACAGAATTATTTAGAGGGCATTTGTCTTTCACAGATACTAAACCACACAATTTGCCAGGAGAAAATACCTAAGTGCTGGCAAAGGAAGGAAGAGAGTCTGTCCAAGAGACAGGAAATGCCTGAGCTGCACCTGAGGAACAAGCCCTCTGCAAGGCAGGACCAGGCACTGATGATCAGCACCAGCAGCTCAGTGGTGGGTAACATTTATTACTTTATACAGCCAGATTAGAGACTCAGCATGGACTGTAAGGATGCAATTAGACTGGCTGAGCTGTCAGACAGCACCTGCCTCTACTTGCTGAGCTGGAGGAACAACTCCATTAGCCAGGAATAGTTACAAGAACTTTTCAGCCAATGACAGCTAAAATTGGAAAGATATGATCCCTCACACCAACGTGATCCGTCCCCTCAGAAAGCCTTTTTATAAAATAATTTCTTGAAACGCAAGTTCTCATCCCTCAAAAAAGATCCCTAACGAGAAGTCATAGTTTCACAAACTTAAAATTTTCAGCAAATTATCTGAGCCATATTATGAAAAGTAACTAAAGCTTTTCTAACATGTTTGGGCCGATACTTGATTGTAACTTTTAATATTTTGTCCGGTTTTAACCAGCCCTGAAGCTGCATTCAGAAGCATTCTCACTTTGCTAGTCATTAAATGCCAGTCATTTAACGTATCATACATTAAATATATTAGTAAATATATTAAGCAGAAAAGGAAAAGCTAATGTTGTATCTGTGACCAGCCATCCGAGGAGGAAATTTTAAGACCCACAGCAGCAGGAAGGCTTGGTACACAAAGTATTTTTATTTGAGAGAATAATGTATTTTTTAACAAACAAAATTAGAACAATTTGCTGCGACCCATCTCACCACCTTATAAGGTCTCCCAGTAATTCATCCTGACCTCGACTGGTCTGCATCACTCATTCCCTTTAAGCCATGGGGTGTGACTGCACAGATGGCACAGCCTGACCAGAACTGCAGGCCAAGATGCTGAGGTGGTAACTCCGAGTCCACCCCTGGGAATGCGTTTTCCAAGCATCTACATCAGGAGCCGAGTCCTTGTGCAGGGAACAACATCCAAACCTGTTTTCCAAAGCTCCAAGCTCAGGGCATTGAGGACACCTGTTTAACCTAATTCCTGGACAGCCTCTCCCCAGAGACAGCAACAATCCTCATTCAAAACCCAGAGTCCATCCTGCTGCTGAGCACAGCTGGCACTGCTGCTCCCTTACTCACTCCTGCCTACACCACACACTAACAAAAGCCATGAACACTCTATACTCTCCAAAGTCAACAAGCCTTTAAAGAACATTATTAAAAAAAAACCCTAAAAAAACAAAAAACCACCAAACCATTTAAAGGTTCAATCTCTGCACTAGAAAACAGTCTGCAGAAGGACCAGCAATAAAGGAAATTATAATTAAATATAACACGATGGATTTAAGCAGGTATCTAGGTTAAATAGCAAAAGAAATTATTTCATTACACTTATTACACTGTGGGCTTGCTGTTCAAGAGGGAGAATGGTGCCTCCACAAAAATGTGCTTTTAAACAGCACTTCAGTGCATAATAATGCAGGAATTTTGAATTTATGTTTCTGGAAAGGGGGCAGGGGAGGGCTCCATCTAAGTTCATGTCACATGCCAGAAAGGAAAAATGCCTTTCTCAGGTACTCTTATCAAAGTTTTTAATCAAAAACATTGTTGTAACCACACTTTGGAATCATTAGTATTTGGAGAAGTAAACTTCCTTTAGTGACAGAAACAGTTACAAACTGGGCCTTTGGCATGAAGCAGGTTAACTGAGAAGAGTATGTCAGACTATCTGTAATTCAGAATTGCTCAGACTGCATTTAGCATTTAAACTGCTTGCTTTTTCTTTTTTTTTAAAGGACCCTTTCTGAAAAGCATTGTTTAAAGCAAATGTTTTGAGAGCACTTGTACTATTTACAAATAGTAAAAAAAAGTCAGAAGATAGCAGGTTTGTGTCACTCACCACACCTCAAATCTTCAAAGAAGATACTTGCTATGTATTAAAATTCTCAGAAACCCCTATTTTTTCCATTTCTTTTCCTATGATATTTACAGGAAGCATGATTGCTTGTTCACAACACTGGTTTTGTTGAGGAGGAGGGGACCAGCAGAGACAAGCAATCAGCAACAGACAGGAAAGGCAAGAGAGATAAATGGACAATGTGACATTTAGACAGATAAAAATCACATCTGGAAGATCAATATAGGAATTCTTAAGAGTTACAAGAACAAAATATTGTCTCATTGATTTCTTATTTTAAACTATTAACAGAAAAATAGCTAAAAATAGATACACTAAGACATCAGCAACATCACCTCCACTGTGGAGTTTTTAAGAAGTATTTATGTATGAAAGTAGGTTTTGCTAACAAGATAAAGACAAGAGTGACCATGCAGACAGCCCCAGCTGAATACTGTCCAATGTCAGGGTGGGGTTGCTTTGTTTTGGTTTTAAAACATAGATGGGATTAAGTAGTTTTAAAAGTAAAACTCCTCTTCAGAATTCTGCTATTCTGTGTGGTTTATTTAACAAGTACAGTACCTGGGTTCAAATTGTGCCAATAGCAGCTTCGAGAAAGAATCATAAAAGTGTTTAAATCCTCCTTTTTGTTTAAATTGACCAAATGGCACCTATTGCCTGAAGCAATAAAGTAGCCCATGTTCACAAGATAAATCTATAGAAGGAAGGAGAGAGGCTGGGGTTTCAGCTGAAGTTAGGCTGCTGAATGCTGACATTATTGATTTTAGCTAGTTCAGCTGGCCTTGTAATTAAAATGTAAATTTGAGAAAGAGATTATGTCCTGACAGAAATTGTGGGATTAGGGGGAGATAAAAGCCCCTCAGTGAAAATTCAGAGAAAAAGCAAGCCCAGGTTTCCTCAGCTGTGTGGATTTAGACGAAATCAAGCTACTTCAGATTCACTGAAGTTTAATTGAAAAAACGGAAATAGAATATAAACAAGTATTACAGACTTCACCTTTCCTGAAAAAAAAATATTAATAATTTCTGCTCCCCATTTGTTGAATCTTAGTCAAGCCAAGTATGTGATTTATAATAGTACAGACACTGTCCTAGATTGTCAGGAAAATCCAGCAGTCAGGTGCAGTATTTCCCCTCTTACTCTGTGCTCACAATGAAAATGCCTGCTGGTATTTCACTCAGGAAGCACAATAAGCTTTGGACTTTGCAAAGCTTCCCAGTGCCTTTGAATGTAGCTATGCTCAGTTATGTGAAATCTTGGAATCCTCCACTGGAAATTCAAATTAGAGAAAAAGAAGAGTACATAAACACTTAGTCTGGCTTACTGGAATTACAGAATATGTTGATATACTGTTACCCCTCATTAATTAACCCTACTTACAACCATTGCTAAGAAAAACTCAAACATACAGCATTTATATCAAGCCCTTTCTACACCTTACACTCTGACCTTTTAAGCTTCCTTATGATTTTGCATCCCCTGGCCATTGCACAGACCCTCTGAGGGATACTGCTGTGGCACACTACTTGAAAGTGAACCAACATCTTGTGCAGAGACTATTCATTTCCAAGAACTTTAGCAGAAATCAAGTATTTCTCATAACCTGTTACATTTTATGGGAAATTTTCATTTACATAGGAGGACCTCTCCTGAGAATGAGGAAAGTTTCCATGAGCAGTTGGTCAGGATGCATCAGAAGAAGTATCTACAGTCAGATACTTCTATGTATACAGATGTATACAGATAGATACAGGGTATCTATGTACACTTCTACATGGATGCTGAAGCATTTTGTTGGAAGGAATAATAATGCTTTTTCATAAATTTGAAAAGTTAATCTTCATTCCAAATACTGAGTTACAAACAGTTCTACTCATTTATTGTCCTAAGTGTGGCTAGGTCTCTGTAGGCTCAAGCTGTGCTAAAGAAGGTTCAGGTTGGATATCAGGAAATATTTCTTCACTTAAAAGAGCAGTAAAACATTGGAAAGAGCTCCCTGGGGAAGTACTGGAGTTGCCATCCCTGAAGTATTCAAAAAATGAGTAGATGTGGCAACTTTGTAGTTTAGTGGGCATGGCAATCCTCAGTCAAAGGTTGGACTTGATGATTTTAGAGGTCTTTTCCAATCTTAATGATGATTCTGTGATTCCATAGGCATGATTTTAGAGGTCTTTTCCAATCTTAATGATGATTCTGTGATATACCTGTATATGCACAAACACTTTTTGTGTTTGTGCATATACAGGTATATCAAAACACAGTAATATAACAAGGCAATCTCACAAAATTATAATTAAATACTTCTATAGTTTTATATCCTAAGAGAAATGGAGACCACACACACATTTGATAACAGAAGTTTTGGTCTGGGGGTTTTAACTTCAATGCTAAATATCTGTTTTCAATGAATTTATGATAAATCAACACATGCTACTTACATCATGTAAAAATTACATCTGGTTTTTTTTTTAAGGATTCATAGTATTATTAATAGAAAACTTAATCTAGATACCAGACTTGTCAGGCTGAGAAACACAACTAAATTTTCCAAATTTAGGAAAAAGGAACCTGAATTTCAAAGAGGTAAATAAGTAATTCTGTCTAACATTCCCACTGTAAAACCTGATATGTTTTTTCCCCTTAGAGAAGTCAGGTAAAAGCCTTATTTAGCTTAGACAGTGTAATTCTAAGTCTCAAACTCAGCCCCTGACAATGATGCTTTACACACTCTGGAGTTTGTTTCTGCTGAGGTCTCCACTGAGCTGTTTTTCCACATAAAACTGCTCTCCACATCCTTCACATGCAGGGAGAATTCCCTCAGAAGTTCCTGAGGTATGAAGACCTGACAAACCAAACCTGACTGAAAAGCTAGACTCAGACAAACTGAGAAATCACTGCAGTAAGGAAGGAAAATGCTTAGGTATGATTTTTAATTTTCATCTAGCCAGCACATGAGTGTCTGTTCAAGGAATCAAAAACAGCTACTTAACACACAGAAAAGTATGACTGAGATATCATCAGATTAGGAAAGGCAGTCTGGGGACATCTAACCCAGAAAAAGCACATCACACTGTGAGGAAAAGAGGGAAGAATTTCAGAAATTGATAGAAGTAACTTTTGGGATTTTAGAACTGTAGGTTTGATTCCCACATGAAAGAAATCTCAAGCAGACTCAAAGATGCAATGTGAACCTGTAAAGTAGCTACCAGCAACCTAAAAACATTCAGCTTAAGGCTCAAATACAAGAGAAATAATCTTATTAACCAGAATAGAAATAAAGGTTTGTGACTGCACAGTCATTCCTAATAGAATTTTGGATAAAGATGAAACTTGATAACCAATAGACTGTTTCCATGCTAACAGTCCCAAGTCAGATGGTTTCCTCCATCACCTCTTGTACAACAGCAACAGGACTCCCCTATAGGTCCCCAAAGCATTATTGCATGGGTAAGTAATGCTTGCACTGAGACACAGACAAGAACTACCAACTAAAGTGGGTGCTTCGGACTAGAGCTGAGAATTGTTCCATTTTTATGTGGAAAAGCACATCCCTCAGAAGAGATCACTTCCCATGTGGGTCAGAGCTCAGCTGCAAGCCAGGCCAAGACCACCAAAGGCAGGAAGGAAACTTTCATTCTTTGGCATCAGCCAAAAATTCTATTCTATGGGACAAGAGCAATGTCAGGGGCTGCACAGCTCCATCCCTTACCTCATCCACCCTAAGGCTTTATGCCAATGGAACCAACAGCTGACCAGCAAAGGCTGGAATGTGGAAAATCTCCAGTGGAAAGAAGATTTTATTTCTCCCTAAAGTTTTCCTTAAAATGAATAATGGCTCTATTTTCCAGGGCTTAGCAATACCAGCCATACAAGGGCAAGCCACTCATCAGTGGCATCAGCAACATCAGTGCCCAGTGGCGAGATCTGAGCAATCATATGAAAATTATTTTCAGTGTTGTTCCTTTTTCAGCTAAATATTCCTCTTTAGCACCACAGTGTATTTTAAATGATCCTGTGGTCCCACAGGAGAGCTGGCCTCTTGTCAGCTGCAGACATCAGATGCAAGTGTAAATAAGGATTATACAAATGGGAGGTCATTAAAATTCTGGTAATGCTAATTTGGCATGACACCTCTAATGGGTTATATCTTCACACTTCAATTATCTAATCACCTAAATTCTTTTAACAAATTTACATTTCATTTTATACATCAAGATTCAAATTGCCTTGTTCAATTCTACCTCCACCCAAACTGCACCCATGCTCAATTCAATTTCTGTATTTAATATTTAATATCATCACCAATTTTGAGACTGTAGTTATTAACCACATAAACACACAGATAATACAACTGCATGTGTCTATATACTTATGCATAGAACTTGTCTTTCTAAATAAATTTTCATTTTTAACAAGTTTTTCAGCTCTCAGGAGAACTACAAAATTTACCTTGTTGGTAGGATACATTTTTGTGAGAGAAGTGACAGGAAATAAAGTGACATTTAAATCAATAATTTGCATGTCATGTTTCAATCCATTTCCACAGTCATATTTTATAGCTTTGTTTTCTGGTTTACTGTATCAAGTTAATCTGGCTTGTTCAGGAAAAGTAACAATAAAAGGGAAAATAGCTTATAACCATTCACACTTTCCATGTAACACTGGGATTTTATTTTACATGGGAGGTTTAATGTTCCAGTTAGAACATTCCACTCATGCAGATTTTCATTTTCTAAGCTGTGATTTTCAGGAATTCTGAGTTATTTTCAGACCTTTTCCTAAACTGGGAACTTACACAATAGCTTTAAATGCTTGTAAGTAAAGCTGAATGTCTTCAGAAGCATCAGGAATGATTAATTTCTTTCAAAATGTTATTTTTAATGAACACATCATATAAAGAACAGCCAAGTGTGACCATTAGCTCCTATATAACCACAGGTATACAAAACGAGACAGAGATTTTGTTTTCTCATTGATTTACTTGTTCACTATAATGTATTCTCTATCAGCAATAGTTTAAATACAAATTGGGAATTTCTTAATCCATTTTGATTTTTAAAATATCCCTGAGTAGATAGCAGGCTTCTTCTTTTATCCTTCCCTATAAGAAGGAATTCAAATAGCAGCCAAGTATTGTGTTAGTGTGATACAAAGGGTGGTAAGATGCTTTATTTTTGAAAAATAATGTCCATGAGGAAGATAGGATAAAAGGGAAGAGGTGAATACATTTCACTTCCAGTGGAAGCTGACATGTACAAACACAATTTTTGCATGTTAGAATTCCTGAGGCTGCTGCTAAAGATATGAAAAACAAGTTCCAGGTGGTAGCTGCAGCCTGACTCATACGAACTAAACTGCAGAAATGGGAAAAATAAGCATCAACAGGATTGAAAAAGCCAGAGCAACAGCTCAAGTCTTATAAAAATACTCATGGACAAATGGAGAAGCAAGACACTTCCTACAGGTCTTTAACTTAAGCTTTTTGCTGGCAGCTACCCTTCTCTACAATGTACTGAAATCTTGGGAGTCCTCTAATATACTGAGTTACACAGAGGTAAAGCTGCAGGTTTACTAAGCAAGATGTACAAAGGACAAGGAGCAACACACTGAAGTTGAATTAAGATAAAATTTCTTCAGTAACACCACTCTCAATTTCAGAAGCACACAGAAAGAATAACTTCATTTAAAAATCATCTACTTTTACTAAGAATGCAAAATTATAGTTTGTCATCTGGTACGTGCTCCATGGCTGTAATTCTGCACTTGAAAGCTGAGCTGCATTTAACATTTTCAAACAAAAAGAGCCACCCTGCAGGGCTCTAAGTTGGCCATTCTATGGGAGAAAGTGACTGTGCACATCCAGCTGCTGCTAATGCAGGTGATGGAACAGCACCTTATCCCAGCTCACCAGACTGGCACCAGTACTCGTAATATTCAGGCTCACTGCCAACTTTACTTTGCAATCCCTTCACTCCCAGGATGTGTTCTGCACACTTACAAGCAGCCAGGGTGCTGCTCCTGGCTCTGAACTCCTGTGGAAGATGATGGAATGGAATGAGCTGCTCGTCTCAGTTGCTCGTGCTCCTGAAAGTATTTGTTTATCCAGGGCCAATCACTGCTCTGGTGTCCATGTAATGACTTCCTCAGAGCAGGCAGAGATTACCCACACTGCTGATCACTTTATTACTTCAGAATGGCTGTTTATTTACCTTAGTGCAGCAGTAACATGCAGGGATAAAGCCTGTCACAGCTGGGCAAACTCACCGTATTCCTTACGCAGGTGGTCTGGAATGTGGGGCTCATAACCTTCCTTCTCAGGGACCTCCACAAATTCATCTTCATCCTCATCGTCATCATCCTCATCCGAGGCTTTCATCTACAAAGATATTTTTGTTGGGGTTATTTTCTCTTTATTTTCATGTGAAGACTGTTTTTCATTTCCCTTCACACTGAAAATATTTTGCAAACATCCCGATAGCCCTACTGAGACTTCTCTATGTCAAAAGTATTTCCCTAATTATGCATTTAATCTTTATCTAAGATTAGGCCTTTGCTTCACATTTTATCTCTAAAGCCATACTCTATCCTAAGGGCTTCTTTAAAGCCCCTTTTATCCATTAGAACACATGCAGTTGGTGAAGTCTGAGAAAGTGTGAAGCTATAAAATAAGACCAAAAAAATCTTAAAATAACATCAAGATTTTGACTTAATGAGCAAATTACAGTCTTAATTCTTCTCATTTTGATTATTTTACTCATCTAGCAGCACTCAAATAATCTGTGGCATGTTAAATGGTATCACAAATTGTTTAAGAGTTCAAAACCAGAGCAGGCAAACAGGAGGGGAAACTGATAATAGTGACCCAAATAAGAATATTCAGATCTGTATCTACAACTACAGTAGTTCAGTGTGCTTCTTCACAAAAGTACTAAGAATAATTTGATACATTAATTTCTTAACTGATTTGGTACATCCTAACCATTTATATTGCCAGACAACACACACTACTCTGATAAAGACCAACAAAACAGGATTTTCTTAAATGTGCACTTGGTCTGTCTTGCAGTTTGAAATTGATGATACATGAGTAGGCAAAAAAAACCCCAAAAAACAAAAAAGAATTCCAACTAACCAGTGTAATTCATCCACATAAGTGGCTTCCTATGTATAATTTTAGCTAGCAACTGTTGTATATGTGCATATGTGCCATCAAATCTATAATTTTTCTAAGCTTGTTCCATACTTGAAAATTATTTTTATTGCTAAATTGCACGTAAGCTAAAAGGATCTGTGTCACCAGACATGGCCTGTACTATCAGAGCTTTAAAAAAGTAAATGTCAACTACTCTAAAAAGCAACAATGATGGAGACTTTAAGCTTTATTTCCTTTGCCCATGATCAGAGTCACCTCATTCCCAACAACACAATTAGCACTTTATTGCATATTTGCCATGTGCTTTTTCAAGGAAATAGGAAAAGGTATCCACTAAATCCAACCTTAGCACAGGCTATCACTTCTTCCTCTTCACTGCAGCAACCCTAAGTAATTGACAAGGAACAGCATAATTTTCACTATTTTCAGCTGTGCTCTTTACTTCTATTAGTGCACCTGGATTCTGATAATATTCATACCATTGTTACAAGCAACAGAGGATACTGCAGGTTTTGCCTGCAGCAGAATTTTCCCAATTTAATTCACTACTCTAATCTTGTGTCACAGCTGAGTTCCTTTAAAACATAAATATACTCTGAAGCCAAAAATCTAGCAGCTAACCTTGGTTTATCAAATGTGGTTAAAAATTAAAATAAATAATAACTTTAAAAAAACCCTAGTATTTATTTTTGGCCATAATTAATTGTAAGCTGGACTATAATAATCTTTAACAAAGACTGTTAATTGATATTAATACACAGATATACATTGACACATAATGAATGGATGGTATAAGTTAGAAGTAAAATTCTTCTCTTTGTTTCAAAAGTTACTTTGATCTAAGAAAGCTGCAGTTGCAGTGAAAAAGAAGAGAAGAAAAAACCAGATTTACTGTCCTGATGACAGGAGCTGATTTACTATTACATTCTTACTAGACAACACCTAATTAGTCTTCATTTTAAAATAAAGTCTCAGGAATCCTGTGTGAGAGCACCCTGCTGCCAAAGACAGGTAAGGAACCCAGTGCCGTCTCAGCCCAGCTATCCCTCCTCTGAGAGCTGCCAGTATTTAAGCTCAGTGCAGGTGGATCCTGCACCTTTGGTTTACTTTTTGTTTCTCACTGCAATCATTTTTCCTGCTCTAAAGCAAAGCAGCAATTCAGGCCATACCTGGCCCAGCCCAGACAGATTCACACCGAGCCTGACCTCCTCAGCAGAAACGAAAATAGAGTTCCAATCAAAGAAAGGATCCACCAATAATCACAAACCCCCAACGCCACTAGATTTGAAAGCAGAACATCTCTCTGAAACTGCAACTTTTAGAAGACATTCCTAATGGCCTTTAGAAAGAAAAAAATCAACATGTTTTCTACTGCAAATCTGAAGAAGGCTAGAGATTGAAGAGAAGTTGGTTTGTATTTTGGTTTTGAAATTCTGCTGGTGCTGTCATTCCCTTTTCACCTATTAGGGACAATTTAAATTGGAAGTAACCACCACCAAATAACCTCCAGTATTTCTCCAGCTACAAGCAGGACATCATCATAATTCTCATATTCAGGTTCAATTTCTTACCTGGCTATTAAAAAAAGATTTCACCGAGATAAAATTTGTCATAGATGATCTTAGTCTGCAACTTTGTGTCATAATGTACAAACTCACTAACTTTCATATCATAAAAAGGGAAAGTAAATTCAGTGTATTCCCTTTGTTTTCACTCAGTCTGTAAACGAATAAACAGCAACAGGTTTAAGGAACATAGTGTCAAATTGGCAAGAGGAAAAAACTCAGTGCAGCTTGAACATTTTACTTAAATTGCCAGATTATACCTAAAACAGCAGAGATATATAATACTAGTGCTTCCTTGCCTGTCATATCTTGAGAGGACCAGAGGGAAAGCAGAGTACTATCTTTAATTGAAATTTCACCTGATTTGTTCATATCTCTCTGTATGGTAATATACTAAAATTCAGTGGACCTCACTAATCCTCCACTTGAAAACTGCACTGGAAGCAACTTTGCTGTATTACCTGCATGATCTAAAACTTTAAAGCATGTGAAAAGCCTGACAGAGAAAAAGCATAATCAGATGCAAATTCACTTTGTTTAGGTACAATCCATGAACTGTGCATTCAAGTACTATAGAAAACATTAATCATAGGAAACTGTAATTTTTGTTATCAGTCTAACACTAATCAAAAGGGAAACCTGTCACTACCGCTGACCTGTGAAACGTCCCAATTATACTCTTCAGAAATGACAGGAGCACTTAACTTCCTCACTGAGTAAATGACGACAATCAATCAACTTTGAATAACAATGAGCCACGGAGCTGAAAATTATTTTTTGTATAGAATCTACCCAGGAATTTATGAAAGGTGAAAAGCAACCCAAGGTTTTAGGGGCATTATGGCTTTCAGCTAGTGCAGCACATATCAAACACTAAACAGAATTTATGTGTTTTAATTTTCTAAAAGGTAGATGTGGACTTGGTGCTACAATGCATAACATATAATGCCAGATTTTAAATATGGGGGTCATTTTCATAAAATATTATGCGTATTGTTCACACCCTTGAATTTCCCTGGAGTCTTCTATTAAATCTAGATTTCCTGGAAAAAAAACCAAACTGCTTAGCTAACTATCAGGAATTAAGACCTCTTTTCCCTTCAAACAGACATAAAATCTTTATCTTGACAGAATCCTTAACAAGTTAAATAAGTTCTCTTTTTACTTTAAAATATTAAAGTTGTCATTGTTGGAAATTCAAGAAGTTGCAGAGTAATAGCAGGTAGTTATACCTCAATTTATCTCATTCCAGTGGTACTTTATCAGAACCATCCCATTTATGTATGTTTGTTCCATTTCCTTGCTAGGGAAAGTGGGAGAGCTCATGGGCAACATTATTAGTTAGAAAAGTATGTTTTGTTTTTTTTAAAGTTCCGCTTTTCAAGCATGAAGAGAGCTCCAAATGCAACTTCTACAGAGGTAGTAGGAAAGCTCAACCACCTCCTGTCTATGCTTCCACTAAAGGTAAACTTTTTCAGTCAATTAAAAAAAATAAACAATCCACCATTAAATCAGAAGACATAAATATTTAAGACAATAGTTTTAAGTGGCCAATTAAGTAAATTATAATCCTTTTAGGAATGAGGGGTTAGGGTACTTGCAACCATGAAAAAGACTAAGATAAAAACAAACAATATGAAATTTCTAGTGTGCCATGTCTGAAGAGAAGTAAAGTATAAGAACAAGTGATAAATACCACAATGTAAAGCTTTTCATGTAGTGTACAAGATTAAATACCTTGAAGATAGGTAGGCACAAAACTGCTTGTTTCTCAATCAGCTGTCAAAGAATGTGAGAAAGAAGCTCCTGGTTTCAAATCCATTCTAATTTTCAGGTGATATGAGGAAACTCACTAACACAGTCTCATCACAGATGGAGGGTGAAGGGCCCCTCTCTCACTAGAGAATAGTTCACCTGAAGGGACATCAGATCCCCGGACATCAGAGGCTGCTTGCACCACCACTGCTCCTCAAGTTCCAAGGGGAAGAGAATTTTTGGCCTGTTAATCTGCTCTGATATTTATTTTTGTATTTATTTATCTAAGTCATAGAATGATGAGTTTGCAAAGCTATGTGCTCGTTGTTGGTTTCTTTAACATGGTAGGCTCACTGACTAGATACCTATATTCCTGTGAGAAGAAATGGGATTTAGCTAGGCAATTTTCAGATTCTTGAGCTGGACTTATTTACATATGAGAATATGGTTTAAAAAAAGACAGAAAACATATGTGCATTATTTTCACTGTAATCACTTAGAACATCTTCACAATTCTCCCGATTTTTCACTAAAAACCTAAAATAGTGCTGACTATTCCAACTAGACAAGTGTAATCAAACCATTTCCTCTCTAACTCATCAAAAAAAACTTGAAAAACAGATGTTTCCTTATTACTCTGCATTATTTTAAAAAAAATTGAAAAAGCACTGGATGCCACTAGAAATACAATTATTTCTTTTACTTTGCAGTCAATGCTCCAACAGCCTCCTTCTGTCAGTGCAGCTCAGTGCAACCAGAGCCCCAGTCAAGGGCTTTGTTCACCCATCCCAACCAGTAACAAATGTGAAAAAAGCCTGCACCCACCACACAACACTTGGAAAGATGTGTAGAAAAGCCCTTGATCCTTTTCTCACTTTTATACAAATTGACTGCTACATTCCG